CCCAGACATTTCTGTTCTACCTTTGTAATTTGGATAACATAGTTGTCCTAATCTGACGCATTTCTACATTTTGATTTAACTCCTTATTTACCTGAAGTATATTCTTCTTTGGATTTTCTGAAAACCCAAAGGGAGCTAAATAGTCATAGTCTAAAGCTACCTTAGATGACTTATCATACTTGTTTAGTAATGGTGCTAATGGAAGCATTTCAGGTGCAAAATTATGATCAAATTTTGATGACACTGTTCAATATTTTTTCCCTAGGTAACTTTACAAATGTGAAGTGTCACTAATGTAGGGAGTATAAAATAACTGAATTAATAATCTGATACAAACAAGCTTAAATCTCAGATTTGAAACAAGGTGGGAGGGTTGGGGCAGGGATAATAAAAAACAAAGAGGGAAGGAAATACCGTGGTCTATGGTGGTAGAACAGGGATAAGTTGGTGGTAAAGGCAAACACCTGATGAGGGCACCTCAATATTACCTCAGTTAAAAATAAATAAAATCATTAATTAAGCAAAATGTTTAGGGCATAGATGACAAGAAAGGAGTGAATAAAGTACACACATTGGAAGGTTTTAGCAGGACTTGACAACACTGCGAAGTAAAAGTAAGGATCTCTAGAAAGTAAAGGATCTAGAGAGCTAGATCGCTAGTAGGATCTCTCTGCATGTAAACCTTAGTGAAATTCAAAGCTTAGAATTTAGCTAATAGAAATAGGAATCGTTTCTCAAAAATTTAATTTCAGGGACTGTTGGGAATTAAAAATGAACTTGCTAAATGCTATACAATCAGCTGTGATAGAACTTGAATTCTAGCCTGCTTTTATGACTGGTCTTTTGTCTGGTTTTATCCTGACCTCGTATAATGAGTTAGTGTTATTCTGCACTCAAATAACAAATTAAAAAAAGAATCTTCATTTTTTCCTTTCTCCAGAAGAACTTGCATAACAAACAAAAGAGTTATTTATTCTATGTGTTTTAATTTTTATTAGTTTTTCATATTTTTTGTTTTTAAGTTTGTATCTTTTGAAGCCTCAGTTTTATAGAAGTTGATTTTTTTTTTCTTTTCAAACATTTAGGAATATGAGGATTTATGGGGGTATCATTTTTATATTAGCCTTTACCTTAATTGTAGCATGAACAGATAGTGATTTATTATAATTTATTCAAACCTGTGTAATTACTAATTATGGGATCCAATTAAATTAAAATTTATGTAATTTATTATAATAAAATCCATGTAATTTAATATATAATCATAAACTATTAAATAACAAATTTTAATCTAATTTATGTAGATATATGTATATAAATTTTATATAAATATCAATTAAATGAGCCATATTTTTCATATTTATATTGTTAAGTCTTTCATGTATTTGCAGTGTGTCTAGGTCTAGCTACCTACTCATTTAATTGAAAAAATCAGTACAGTTGTATAATATATTTCAAATATCCTGTAGATAGTCAGGTCCTCTGTGGTGGCACAGTGGGTTAAAGCACAGCACTATTAATCTCTCTGCAGCCACAGAATTCTCCTGTCTCTACCATTGCTGCCCTCCACAGTGCACTTCATCAATCTGCCTGTTCTACTCCCCCACTCTCTCTGGTGAATTCTCTCACTGCCCCTGCACCTCTGGACTGTATCCCAGTTGTGTATGCATAAATAAATATTTTGAAAAAAGAAAATAGATAATCATGGTCATAGAGATTTTAACAGAAACCAGATTTTATCAGCTATTGTAAGGTAAGTGAAGACGAATAATTTATGCTAACATGAATACTTTTTTTTTTTTTCATTAAATCAGTTATACAATTTTCTTATTACAGAAAAGTTACTTCTATGGTGTAGTAAATCAACATGTTGAGTTGCTACTTCCATAGGATTGCATTTTTAAAGGTGGAACTTGCAGAAAGTAGGCTAAAATTTATGATGCTCCATGGATGAACATAGTGAAACAGAAATGCATCAACAGGAAGAGTAAGAGGTTGTCAGATGGGCTTATATAATGAAAAGTATGTTGACTCGAAGTAAGAAATGCATATTGGAAAATCCTAAAGAAAACAAATTTTATGGAGATTTTTAATAAGGGAATGAATGGTAGGACAAAAGAGTCAACTTATGTAGGGTCATCATTTGGGTATCTTATTTTATTTTAAGGACAGTAGAAACAATCAAAGAAATTTAAGGTTTTATTAATCTTTGATACAGTAATGTTTTCAAAATGTGAATATCACTGCAGTGTATATTGAGAGTGGCCAGCAATTGATTGGATTTGCCCAAATATAGGAGCTAGTAAACCAGTGGGAAATTTCACATTTTCCCAGTATTTAAGTAAGTATGTGTGGTTATTAAACTCAAAGAAATACAGTGGGCATGTAATAGTTGGGAAATACCCAACAAAGTCCTTATATCATATTACATTATTGGTAACACCAATAGCTAGGTAGATAATATAATGCCTGACAGTTGGGTAGTTGACATGAAGAGTGGTTAGGAGAGGCATGTTCAGCAAAGCTATATTCAACAGGTTGTTGGTGAAAGCTTCTGAGGAAGCCACAGATGAGCAGTCACTTGAAGGAAGTCAGTGAAATTCACTTTCATCCAAAGATGAGGAAACCTAAGAGAAGCAGCAGCAAAGGCAAGGAGAGAGAATAACCAGATGATTGTGATTTTTACTTTATTATAGTCACTTTATTTTTCCTGTTCCCTTGTTTGGTTCTTCTACATTGTTCCTATAAGTAAGACCATTTGATATTTTTCTTTTTTCTTTTTGGCTTATTTTACCAAGCATAATGCTTTCCACTCCATCCATGTTGCTGCATAGGTGAATGGGTGGTGGGAATTTCACGGGGAAGTCATTCATTGCACAAAAATGAAGGATTATGTAATAAATATATTTTAAAAATGAAAAAATCAGTAATCTATGAATGCTTAGAGAATTGCTTTCAGTAGTGTGTTACCAAAGTTAAATAAGGAGAAAATGTAGGAAGGAGAATAAAAAATACAGAATAACAGGCTCACTGGCATGTGGTGGAAATGAGTTATTTTTTTTGAAAAGATGTATTTATGCATACAGAGCTGGGATACAGCCAGAGGTTCAGGGTGGTGAGAGGATTCACCAGAGACAGTCAGAAACAGAACAGGAGGGGAGCAGCAGGCGGTCAGGAGAAGTCTGTGGCGCCATGTGGGTCACCTCGGGGCCGGTATCAAACTCATGCTGAAGTGGCTTTAGCTTCTTAGTGCGTGCTTTAACCTGCTGCACCACCAGGGAGGGGCTGGGAAGGAGTTTTAATGACTTCTCCTAGCAAATGATGTCTCAAACTCAGCCAGCATAAGTACATAGATCAATTTGTTAGGGCAGCCATGATGAAATACCACAAACCATATGATATGAATCAACCTACATAATAAATGTATTTTTTCATGATCTTGGAAGTTCAAAGTTCACAGTTAAGATGTCAACTGGATTAGAGTCTTCTGAGGTTCCTTCTTTACTTGTGTTATATGCATGGCTAACTTCTCCAAGGGTCTCCAGCTGTTCTTCATTCTGTGCCTGTCAGATTCCAGATCTTATCAAAACACAAAACTCTTCTGACTCGCCCTGCTCCCCTCAGTAGTGTATTTCAGTTTATCTGCCTATTCTGCTTCCCACTCTGTCTCTGGTGAATCCTCTCACCCCATACTTTTGTCCTGCACCCCAGTTCTGTATGCATAAAAAAAAATCTAAAAAACACTGGTGATATTACAACTGAGATGGAAAAAGGCACGAAATGATGTAAAAATAAACTATTATTTAAAAACAAAAAACAAAAACTGGTGAATCCTATTAGACCCACCTAAGTATTTCCATTTAAATTTGATTACCTCTTTGGAAGCCTGTATATAAAGTCACATTCTGAATTTCTAGGGCTTAAAACTTCTAACATATGAACTTGAAGGGGCATTAACCCCAAATATTCAGCCAATTAAAATGCCATATCCTCAGATCTGGGAAGATGCACCATGGTCATACGAGGGCAGTGTAGTGGGGTAAGAATTTACAGTATTTTGTGGCAAAAGTGGCAGAAGGAAAATGCATAGAGGAATGTTTAGAAAACCTTGAGCAGCCTAAATCAGTGCAAGTCCTTCCTGGAAGTGACTGAAGGCAAAATACATTAGGAAAGACATGCTCAGAGAAGAACTGACTGGCTAAGAGCTTTGCACTTTATTATGTATATTAAAGAGAATTACTTAAGGTTTATGAGCAAGAAGGTGCTATAATCAGAAGTGTGCTTAGGTCCATTAATCTGTCAGTAATATGTAGTTTACGATCTGGTGCTAAAACATAAATCTCATTAGCAGTAGAGACGATTCAAGTTGGAAACACATCCAGGTGCACGAGGGCTTTTGATAAATCCTTGTTTTCCTCTGACATGGAAAGAGTTTGTCGGAATTTAGTGTTTTTACATTGACACTGTGAAGGGCATCTTTGTATTTCTCCCACAGACTATTCTTTGTATTTTCTGTCTCAAATATAAATAGAATCCCTATTATGGCTGATTTCAGGAAATTTGTAATGTTCCGCCTGTGCCTGAAATAAGCTATGAGTAATAAATAGCTAAATACAACAACAGAAAAACAATTTAAGGTAAATATTCCCTACGTCTATTCCATGATCGGTTGTGATTTTGCACACATACATGGGTACATATTTGAACTTAATAAATAGCCTCTAATTATTTGGACAAATGCAGAAAAGGCAAACATTTATTTTTAAAAATAGCGCTCTTAACATGAGGTTGGTACTCACTGTTCATAATATGCACAGTCGAAAGGCCCTCTCTTTTTGTTCCTAAACTTTAATGTAACATTATTCATATTGTATACATTCAATTCAATCATTGGTCATTTAGTGGAGAGCATGAGTGTGCTCGCCTATGCCTTTTACCTTTGAATAGTCTATTGAGAAACTTCTCTCCTGTCTCTTTTCCTCTTCCTTTATTTTCTGCAGACACCATCCATCTTCGAGTTCTTGAATCTTCTCCAGTTGGTACAGCCATTGGCAGTGTAAAAGCAACTGATGCTGACACTGGGAAAAATGCCGAAGTAGAATACCGAATTATTGATGGTGATGGGACTGAGATGTTTGACATTATAACGGAGAAGGACACGCAAGAAGGCATCATAACTGTGAAAAAGGTGCCCAGCATCAGAATAAGTAAAAATCCACCTGTTTAGAGAGTAGGGATATAATTTTGTGCTGTCTATCGATGTGTTATCCACTAGAAAGACCAATATAATTTTTTAAAGATTTATTTATGCATACAGAACTGGGGTACAGGTCAGAGGTGCAGGGAAGGTGAGAGGATTCACAAGAGACAGACAGACTGGGGAGTAGAACAGGCTGATAGATGAAATACACTGCTGAGGGGAGCAGTGGGCAGGTCAGGAGAGGTCTACCGCACCATGTGGTTCATCTCCCTGGCTGGGAATTGAACTTGTGATAGCTTTATATTGCTGTGATTTCACCCATTGTGCCACCAGGGAGAGCCCCCCAATATAATTTTTAACCATAATTTATGTTGTGCCTAAGTATGAGGAATAAAGCCAAAGTTCTCCTTGGACATTTCAACTCTGTTTTTGGTCATTGAGGTATGAAACCTAAGATTTTAGAAAAGTTTGAAGGTGAGTTTATATATGCATGATTTTGTTTCTAAGCCACATTAATAATAGACCCCATAATAACTTGTTTTTTAAAAAAAGAGTCAGCTAATAATGGCAATTTATCATCACAGTTGGAGATATAAAAGGTAGCATGCCATCTATCCAGATGTATGAAGCAATAATTAGAGTTGCTAATAAAAAGAGACAGCATGGATTGGAAGATAATTTAATTGTTCACATTTTTCCTTCTGCTACATAAATTAAACTTTCCTGCTAACATATGCTCAGTGATACTGTTTAAAGGTAACTAGTTATTTTTTCATTGTAGAGTTAGTATGGTCATTATTTTAAAAAATGCTCAGTAAAATGTAGGTCCTAATGAAATGTCCTGAACACTCTATATGTATAAAGTAACCATTGAACACTGGTCAATCATACAATTCTATATATATTTCTATGAGATCTCATTGAAAAAACTAAGGTACTCAAAAGCCCAAGGTATTTAACCAATTCATTAAATGGACAGTGACCTACAAAGGAGGAAGCAGTTTTCTTGTTTTTCAAGTCTGGGAAGTCACAACTATGTAGCTAGAATCTGCTGTTAAAATGACTGAAGGGATCTGAATCAATGACACCTTGTTTTCTGTTAACAAACATACATTTTAGAGTAACTGAGAGGTGAGGGCTTTGATTTTAATTTCATGACAGTTAAGCTATAACATTATTGATTCCCATACTTGTTTTATAACAAAATAATTAACATTTTCGATCAAATTTTTCTCCTTATACAATGTTTAATATAGCTGCTGAATGGTTTACATTAGTCTTCTAAATTTCATAAACTTATACAGAACCATAAGCCCATTAAACTGAATAGAAATATCAGAACAAATTTAAAAATACAACTGAGTTTTGTTTATAGAAGAATTGAAAAGAAGCCAACATCTCAGCACATATACCAGCAGACACACACACACACACACACACACACACACACACACACCATCAGTTCATTTTTTGTAATGAGTCAACACCTTATGCTATAGGAATTAATAACTATTCAATTTTTCCAAAATGTAAGACTATCATTTTCTTGCATTTGAAATATCACCTATTGGATACATTAAATAGTAAAAATTGAATCCTCACTGATACATAAATTATTTTTATCACTTTTAATTATTCACAGTTAATGAGTACCTTGACATAACACAACCAGGCTTTAAAAATCTACTGTACCTTGAAAGGAAAATTTAATTCAATATACTGCCCTCTAACTTGATGATTTATTTTGTTATACAGCCTCTTGATTACGAGAGCCGAAGACTTTACACTCTGAAGGTTGAAGCAGAAAATACCCACGTGGATCCACGTTTTTATTACCTAGGACCATTTAAAGATACAACAATTGTGAAAATCTCTATAGAAGACGTGGATGAGCCTCCCGTTTTTAGCAGGTCCTCCTATCTGTTTGAGGTTCATGAAGATATTGAAGTAGGCACAATCATTGGAACTGTAATGGCCAGAGACCCGGATTCTACATCTAGCTCCATTAGGTAATGTATGCTTAAGATGGACTGAAAGGAAATTGAATATAGACATCAAGCAATTTTACCTACAATATTTAATGCCTTGAAAGATATGAGCCTCTGTATGTTGAATATCCATTGAGTGAGTACAGGTTTCAAGGAAATTGTCTCTGATTGCCTTGTGCAGGGCTTGCATAGACTTCAGAGTTCACTACATTTCCACTCTTGCCCTTTTGCCTGAAACCTGACACTTTTCCTGTGCCTGTGTGGTTAAGATATGGTCTGTGTTGCCCTTGCCCCAGATAGGGGGCATATGTCAGCTGTGCAATTACAATGCAATCAAATCACTTTATTTGTGCCTTCAGGTTATTAAATAATATGTAAGTTGGAAGGATTTTTAACCATTCAAAAGACTATAAATCCAGCAATGCTATAATGCAGTTATATTGTGATTTTGGAAACTCTCTTATCTTCCTGCATTCAAGGAAGGGTCAATTTTAGTTTGTTTTGACTATATTAAATAAATAATAGTGCATTAAGGAAAAGTAAGAGTAATTTTATTTTACTTTTTTCCTTTGATTTTTTTTTTAAACGGGAGTTTAAAAACATGAGATGTCATAAACATAGGCAATGGAAAAGACAATAGTTTTTGTTGACATTTGTGCTATTATTTGAATACTATTCCGCCTCAAAAGAATTACTCACGTTAGACTGTTAACCCAGCACTTACTGGAATTTTCAGCAGACTAATTTTGTAGCCCCTACAAAATCATATGGACCAGTCAAGCAAGAATTCAAATGGCGGGGCAGTTTGCAAACATTCCTCTCTCCTTAGTATACAGCAGCAGAACGAACAGAACCTTGAATTTAATGTACCCTGTAACGCTGGTTGTACTTAAAGTTAGAAGTGTTACCTAAATCTTTTCTTATGGTCATACAACAGCACCCCAGACTGCCATGGGCTGGCATCAGAAGCCTGTGTGCGGTAATCACAACAACACCCAGCTGCCAGCTGGTCTTTCCATAAATGCCTCTTCTCCAGTCCATTCATCGTTATGGGAATGGTTGCCCGCCTTGATTTTTTTTTTTCTTTTGAAGTGTTTACATAACCAACATGCACATTCATTTTCCCCACTGAACACTTAACAACTCTCCCACTGGTGTACTCCTAACTGACTTTAATAAGCTATGTTCTCTGTTTCTGTTTTAAAAGATCTTTGTTAAGCGAAATGTTATGTTTTTAGAAGCACTCCATTCAAATAGAGTGTTGTTATGGAATGTCAAATATAAAGACATTTCTCCACACCATGAAATAGGGTTTGCTTCCTCTTCTATAGACTGCTGTTATATCAAAATGGGCTGTGGATTTTTGAAACAAATCTAAAGTATTTAATAAAGACTCAAATCTAAGGACAAGGAGTAAAGAATCCACTTACTTAGACTACATGCAATAGTGTTAATAAATTCATTACTTATTAATAACAGAGTCTATGCCATGAAGGTTATCGTATATTTGAATTTATGCTAATTAGGTATAGAAAATGCAAATGAATATCCTTGGATGTTATTCTTGATAGGCCATGAAGATTTAAAATGTGTGTGTATGTGTGTTTGTGTGTGTGTGCCAAAGAACATTTGCTGATGCAATGCATTTATGGGATGGATAATACTGGACATGTTATAAATTACTTATATCATATATTATAAATGATAATGCAATAATCAAAGGGGTCTGTTTCAAGTAGTATTTTGAAAATGGCTTTTAAAATAAAAGTGAAAGTTAACACATACAATTTGTTAGTAAAGCATTGGAAAATATGTCATGTCTGGAAAAACTCAGTGTCTCTGTAGCTTCAAGATAATTTCATCCAGTCTTCTAAATTGTATTATTATTTCTTTAAAATAAACTACAAGATGTAATTTAGAAAAAAAATGTAAAGTTGATATGGGAAAGATAAGAGTGCTTTATATTGATTTGCATTTGAAGCTTTGTTTCATTTTTCCATAGTGATAAGCAATCATATTATTTGACAAAATGCCTAAGGAGTTCAATAACCATTTCAGCATATCAGATATTAACATGTTTCTTAAGGAGTTCTCTGTGTGTTAGGAAAAACATTCAATATGAGAAATGTGATTTATTGAGTGCCTCAGAACTCCAAGCATAATATGTGGTATTTACAAGTTTGATTTCCTTTTTGAGATGTGGTATATGGCAGAGATGAGGGATAAAAGGTATTTTGCATAGAGAGGACAAGTAGTTTCTACTTCAGGCAATCATGGAACACTCCAAGCAGAAGGTAAACTCTATGTTGATACTGTCAGTACTAAAATATTTCTTTTACATGGGGAAATAATTTGTGAATTATTCCATATGCAGAAATAAAACATTTTGCTCTATTTGTGAATGGTAAATAAAACATGTGACTTGAATATAAAAATAAATTTATAGTGTGTTAATAGAGAGGATTGGAGTTTATTATGAAGATCTGTAAATGACTGTTCTGTTCTATTTGGAATTGGTTTAACATAAAATATAAAATAAGGACTCCTCAAAATTAAAATCACTTTAGCTATATTGACAAATTAATTGTTCTTCTAATGCAATTTATTCAAAACCAGGCACAAAGATCATAAATGTCAATTGAATTTTAGAAATCATTAGAACACTAAAAAACAAAAGAATTTCATGACACATTTTTAAATTATTTTGTATTATTACACACAAAGCAATACACACAAAGCACACTTTAAAAATAGTTCATTCTTTAAAATATTCTATTTCTTTAAAATAAATGGATGACTGACTTAGGAAAAGTTATGCCATAATTGAATATTATTCCTGGTCTTGTCATCTTTGTTTTATTTATTTTTTACTATAAAGCATTAAATAAAATTGGGAATTATGTTTGCTAACTCAAGAACTATAAAACATTTATAAGCCATTAGCATTGTGAAGTGGCAGGGACCAGTGAGGGGAGGATAGCTGTTTTTCACCTTGACTGAAAATTCCCTAAATAATGGGATTTGTGTACTTATATATTAATAAACTCAGTGTTAGGTTATAGAATGGCACCCAATACAGTCCCTTTAATTAGTTTGCAGTTCAGTGTGGAATGCACAAAGATTTATTTGGTAGAAATACATAAAAGGTCTTTTCTAAAACTTTCCTATTTTAAAAACATCTTTAGTAAAAATGTACACAGAAGCACAAGTTTTCAGACCTGGAATCCTCTAAGCCTAATCATAACCTCTACTCAGAAGTAAGTTATCTCCAGTTTCCTCACTAAGCAAAAGACAATAACCTTTCGATTAGATTCTTGTAATTCTTTGGCAGAATATTCAGTCACCACCTCCGTCTGTTAGTAAGTAACCACCTGTATGTAAGCTGCCTATTTTGTGAGAAAATATAACAAACTCAATTGAATGTATGTGAAAGTAGAGAATAGTGTAATAATGCCAACATTCACAATAATAATAGAGCAGAATGCCAACCTCAGAAGGTAAGCATGGGTGCGTGTGTATGCCAGTAAGTCAGCAAAGCAATCTGAATTCTAGATCAGTACTTTGTACTTTATTTAAATAATGAGTGACACGTGTTACATATTTTCCCATTTTCTCTTGAAACTGTCAATAATAGTGCCTCTATGTTTTCGTTTCTGGGTTTTTATGTTTTTGTTTTTGTTTTTGTTTTCCCTCTATGTTCAGATTTTCCTTGGATCGTCATACTGACCTTGACAGGATTTTCAACATACATTCTGGAAATGGATCCCTTTATACATCAAAGCCACTGGATCGTGAATTATCTCAATGGCATAATCTTACTGTTATTGCTGCTGAAATCAGTAAGATGAATTTTATGTGTATATATATATATATATATATATATATATTAGGTCTTTATATTATATATTCTCATTGCACAAATGAATTTTAATCTATGTTTATGAAAAGTCTTTTTAGCACCTATTTTTTCATTACACACATATATATATAGATATAGCTACAGATATAAAAAGAGAGAAAACTATAGATATTCATAAATCTACAACTGATAGTAAAAAATACAATGATCTAGAATTGGGAACTTGAGATATTTCCATTTAGGGAAAGAGAAATGTACTAAATTTGTTCTACAGACATGGTAAGTTAGTATCATCATTAACTGCCAGGTATTTATCGGTTAATTTTATCAAGAGCATGTAGGAAGAGACTATTAATTCCTCTTTACATATGAAGAAGCAAGGTGTTGATAATAAAAGATGACATTAAGCACTCTATTGGGTATCAGTTTAAGAATTTTAAAATTATTTTTCTCCTATTACTATTTTTATTAACCTCATTTAACAGAGAAGGAAAATAAGACTCTGGAGGTTTTAGTATCTAGTCCAAGTTACAATGCCAACAGTACTAAAACTGGGACTTGAAACCAGTCATTCTGTTCATTCTGTTTTTAAATCCTATTCTTAATTTATACTTAATTTATAAAGCGAAATCCAAATGATCACACTGGGTAGAGCCCAACACTACATCTCTCTCTAATTGCAAAGGTTGCTGCTCACACTCAAGCTTGCCTGCATTATTTATGGTGTCCATTATAAATTGAAAATATCTGTACTCTTATTAAAAAATGTATACACAAATTTAGCATGGTAACAACAAAGCATTAAAACAAGGTAACACAGGGGCCCTCTAAGCAGGAGGTTCGGTGCTGGTCCTTCCTGCTCACCCAAACCTTTTCATGGTGTCCGGTTCCTGTTCTGTGCTGTACATGGAGTAGAGCAACTTGTGAAATGCTTTAAGAAGAAGCATAATTAAGGAATGAGTCATGCCCATAAATTCCAGATCTGAAAACTAAGTTGAATTCACACACACACATGTCAAGGTGAAGTTAATTGAAGAAACCATTCTGGAATGTGGAAGGCAGAGCATGTGACTAAATCAGCAAGAGTCTTGGTAGCATGGAACTAGCAAAACATCCTTAAAGTGACTTAACCACTTCAAGATAATGTAATGATTGAGTCCTTTCCCTCGGCTATAGCAGTGAAATATAGAAGAATTCCTCTCAACACCCCCCCCCATCAAAATGAATCAGTTTTCCATTGTGAAATAGACCCAGCATTAGATTTCCTAATTTTTCCTTTAAGGAGAGTTTTTAATGTCTCTCAGTTCCACATCACCCTGGTTAGATATGCCACACACAATCCAATCTGTTCTTTCAAGAATTATTATTTGTGTTCTCTGCTTCATTCAAGCTCTTTATTCAAGTCTGTTGAGCTAGGAATTGGACTTTCCATTTCAGATACTTTGAGAAATTTAACTTCTAAAGCTAGTTGAAGTAATTATGATTCTGTAAAAAGCTAAGCCAATTACATTCTTCTTTTTAAGAACCAAACCTATTTTTTGTCCTTAAATAAAATCAATCTATGGAGTAAGTGCTGCAAATGTCTACCTGCCAAGGCACAAACAGTCAGGGGCCCATTATGCTATTCCGGGTGTTCAATGGAAAGAGGGAAAGAGGGAAGCAGCAGATAGGAAAGTGCTATAACTAGGTTTTAAACACTGGGTTTGTGGTATGTGGGTCACACAGCAAGCCCTCAGTCAGACAGGATGATGAGTATACACGTACTTACTTACCCACGTCCCCGGCCCTGCCTCCACCAGTCCATTCCAATATGCCAGAGCACTTGTCAGAAATCATCACAAATACTACTCCAGGTAGTAGTTAGCATATTATACCATGGAATTTCTTCTTTCTTTCAACACACACACACACACACACACACACACACACACACACAATGTTATGAAATACCAAGAACGTTATCAACTATCGAAAATTAAGGTCACAATCAATTCACACATTCATTGTTTTGTAGTAGAAACCAGTTACTTCAACCCCATCTGAAAATTTCACTGCAATCTTTGCATAGATCTGAGGACAGTAGCAGAGTTTAGGACTGCAGGACACCATTATCTACGCCTAGTTCCTTTTTAGTGGAAATTATTTCCCTAAGCAGAGAGGAAAAATTCATCTTTCTGAAGCCTAGGATTTCTGGTAATGATGTAAGTTTTCCTCTTCTGGGACATGTGGAAAAACTTGTGGCTGCATAGGCCTGGTTTCACCTGAGGTCATGCATCTTAAGATCCTTTACTGCTGACACACTCTTGTTCCAGTAGTTTCCCTGGAGGACTCTGAGAGAGACTCAGGTGGTGAATATATGCCAGCTACTATTAGCAGGATGCTTCCTTTGAATGCTTCATATTTTTATTGATATATAGGCTGCAGCCTCTGCCAGTAAAAAGATTAGTGTAAGCACTGTGTTTTTGAATAGGTGACTCCAGGCCTGATGCTTTACACGGCAAGTTTCTCTCTGTGGATTTAGCTTTTGATCTGAAGAGGCCTTGAGTTATTTGTAAAGAGGTTGGTGAATCACCATATTGTGTTAGGGAAGGGACTGACGATGCAATTTTTTTTCAATATGAAATTTTGCAGTCTCTCGTGGCTTCCGTGGTAAAACTAGAAAGTGAATTGGTGCTAACAAAACAATAATTTTTATGTCAAGACATTATATTGAAAGAAAATATTTTACACACATCTATTATTCAAACAGATTTAAAAACAAATTCTAGAAAATGTGAAAGAACTGTACTGTCACTTCCTCTATAGCAATAACTAACTTTAGGTGTTGAAATCTCATTTGTAGGTGAACACTTAGCCTTTTATTAGCAAATGATTTCAGAATAGGGAAGGTAGGAAAGCGTGGAAAATTTTTACTTTCTTCGCCTCTCTCCACTCTTCATGAGTAGTCTCTTTACACCCACATGAATTGTAGAAAAACTAGCTAACATTCTTGTATTTGTGTAGCTTGTTGCGGAAAAAGATAACATAAGCTCTTAGGTAATGTGTCAGCACTAAATAAAAAATATATGATGGGGATATAAATCATCATCATCATCAAAATATTGAGTACTTATCAGCATATTGACATTTTGATAAGAAATTTGTACACATTAATGAATCCAGATATTCAAATAACCCTTTACAAGTTCTCTTTTGATTTATTTTTCTTAAGAGTTATTTATTTATATATACAAGAGCTGGTGTACAGACTAGAGATGTGGGGGGAGAGAGGACCCACCAGAGACAGAGTGGGGAGCAGAACAGGCAGATCTACTGCAATACACTGCGGAGGGGAGCAGTGGGTGAGACGGGAGAGGTCTGCTGTGCCCTGTGGGTCAGCTCCCTGGCCGAGAATCGAAGTCATGCTGCAGTGGCTGCAGATAGCTTCATAATGCTGCATCTTAACCCCTTCTGCCACCAGACCTTTTTATTCCTGTTGCATAAACTGAGGTGTCGGGGTATAGAGTAAACTGGCCAAGCTACACAGGAATGAGTGCTCGCACTGTGAACCACAGCAGCTCCGCTTGACACCAGGGATGAATTCTTAGCTACATAATGCACCAAGAAGTGAACAATATGTAATAATACTTTAGCAAATATGGAATTAGAACCAGAAAATATCCATATGGTGAACAGACTGAAGTCAGGCTGCAGAAGAATGTTAGAAAGGGAAACTGCTTTCAATTTTCTCATGACAAGAAGGAAAAGTTAATGAGACTTGATTTGCTTTGTGACAAAGCTACTGTCTGAGAAATATGTCTTTAGGCGATTTGACTTTTGTGTAAATATTATATGGGTATTTACACCAACCTCGATGGTAAGGCCTAGGACACAGGGCTATATGTAGGAACCACCCGTGTTGAAATCAACACTGTCCCCGTCAGTCAGATGGATTGCGAATTCTGCCTGCATGCTTTCATTTTTCTTCCGCTTGAAACGTCTGTGCTGAGTCATCAGTTCTTGTACATTATTTTTTCAAAGTGCTGATTTTATTATTTTAGTAACATTGTAATCACATGGAGAGAAAGAAGGGGAAATAAATTACTTTGTGTGGCGATATATTCCCTGTTTATATATATATGTGAAAATGATTCTGACAAAATTAAAAAGTCAGATGAATTTCACAAGGGTAAGGGATTTTATTCAAGTCATGTTGTGCTGGAAGAGGCCATTTAACAAGAACGCTACTGCCTCTCAGCTTATCTGCTACTCGTTATATTTGGCTTTGTCTCCTTTTTCTTTTTATGTAAAAGTCCTTTTAGCTGTACTTTTGAACATTATGCTAAGACTGGTATTTTGATGTCACAAAGTCTGATGAGTTTAGCCTGAATTTAAGATGACAGAAATCTCTGAGAAATCAGTTTTACAAGTGCCTAGAAAAAATTACATTGGAGATAATATAATTATGAATAAGACCAGTATGTTATGCAAAGCTAAGGTAAATATTTATATTTTAAATTCCATTTACAAATCAAAGCACTTTTTAAAATGCATAACTTGTGTGAAAATGATGATGGTTTTGGTTTAACATTGTCAGTCAAAAAATCATAATTATGGCCCTCCCTGGTGGTGCAGCGGGTTAAAGCACAGCACTGAGAAGCTAAAGCCGCTTCCGCATGAGTTCGATCCCCGCCTGCCCCAGAGGTGACCACAAGGCGTGGCAGACCTCTCCTGACCCGCCCGCTGCTCCCCTCAGCAGTGTACTTCGTCGATCTGCCTGTTCTGTCCCCCACTCTGTCTCTGTTGAACCCTCTCACCACCCCTGAGCCTCTGGCCTGTACCCCAGTTCTGTATGTACAAATAAATAAATCTTAAAAAAAAATCATAATTATACCATTTGCTGCCATTGAATTAATTGTGTACAAATTTCAGCCTAGATTATTTAAATGATATCAGTAGTAATTATGTCAATAAAATATTTGAATCCTTTTATTTCATTTTAAATTTAAATACAAAATTCTAAAATCCATAGACATAGAAGTACATTTTCAAAAATAAGAATCACGAGTAGCTGTTGGAATATATCTTAGTGTTAAAAGAAGAAAAATAGGGTGTGAGATAATAACTACCATTTAAGAACTTGGGCCTCTTACTAATTCCTTTAAAACTATTTATTAATCAAACAAAAATACCAATAAAGAATTATTTAATACAGTAATGTGTAACAAAAATTAATAAATTCTCTTTGTTTTCATTTTATATATTTGGACTACTAGGACACAAATATAATATGAACTCAATTACACTGTGCTGTGCTTTTAAAAAGGTTTTCAAAAATAATAATAGTACTTGAGTGCAATAACGACTGAATTCAAGACTACTTAATTAGGCTCTGTAGTAATTTCCTTTATTGCTTTTGCTCCTTGTGTGAGTAGAATAAACACAATGCCTATTTGTATGTGAGCATTAATATCCTCATGATGCTTATATGATTAAATCTGATAAACTAATGTGTCTTCCTATCCACATTTTCTCTTCCACTTTTCTAGACAATCCCAAAGAGATGACTCGAGTGGCTGTTTTTGTGAGAATTTTGGATGTCAATGACAACGCCCCACAATTTGCTGTGTTTTATGACACTTTTGTGTGTGAAAATGCCAGACCAGGACAGGTAAATACCTGTAGGATTGCAAATCAGAGGAAGATTTTAACGGTATTTTAAGTATTTTCTTTTCCCATTTCTGAGGGGAAAAGATGATAAAAACAGATAAAAATGTTTATATATAGTTTACATTATATAGTTTACATTATTTTTTTAAGGATTTATTTATACATACAGAAATGGGGTATAGATCAGTGGAGGGGAGGGTGGGGGTGAGAGGACTCTCCAGAGACAGAGTGGGGAGCAGAACAAGCAGATCCACGAAGTACACTGCTGAGGGGAGCAGCTGGAGGGTCATGAGAGGTCTGCTGTACCATGTGGATCACCCACCTACCTGGGGATCGAACTCGTGTTGCAGTGGCTGTGACTAGCTTCACAGTGCTGTGTTTTAACCCATTTTGCCTCCAGGAAGGGCCCTCCGATAACATAATTTTTTTTTTTTTTAAGATTTATTTATTTGTGCATACAGAACTGGGGTACAGGCCAGAGGCTCAGGGGCGGTGAGAGGGTTCACCAGAGACAGAGTGGGGAACAGAACAGGCAGGTCGATGAAGTACACTGCTGAGGGGAGCAGCAGGCGAGTCAGGAGAGGTCTGCCACGCCATGTGGTCGCCTCCCGGGCAGGCGGGAATCGGACTCATGCGGAAGCGGCTTTAGATTCTCAGTGCTGTGCTTTAACCCGCTGCGCCACCAGGGAGGGCCAACCTCTGTTGTTTTTTAAGCCTCTGGCCTGTACCCCAGTTCTGTATGCACAAATAAAAATAAATCTTAACAAAAAAAAAAAAAAACAGAGTTTGATGTTTTTAAGGTTGAAGGTGTTTTAAAGAACACCTGTAACAGGTTCATATTTCCTTTGTATAGTTTTAAAGTAAAGAGATTTTATCATTGCCACAAAGGTGGGACTAAGAAGAAATATTTAACTTCTAATATTTTCAAAACAAAGAGCAAATAAATGGGGAAAAACATGCTGTGTCATTAGATAAATATTGATAACTGCTAGAGAGATGGGAAATGGAAGTTGGAAAAAAGAGAAATACATAGAGTTAGTGAGACATTGAGTCAATATTGCAATGTATGCAAATGTGATTTCGAAGCAGGGGTGAACAATTCACTCCTTACATGTTACATTTCATCATTATAGCAACACATAAAGAGCTTAACGACTTAGTTTTCATCCCTTAAAACACTCTTCCTACATAAGCTTTGTTTATAACTCTTAAAGTCTTTTCCTCAGTGGACTCATTTTGTTGTTTGAAAGCCCCAGCTATATGGCTTTAAGAAGTGTTCTTAATTGGTTTGAGTGCTATCTTCACAGAAGGGAGCCGCATGTATAAATAATAATTGGGAATCAAATCTGTTTTATTAAAGGGGAGCCATCTCGAAACTGTATTGTGTTTTGACATCATTTGATACTCTTTATACACATCACTGTCATTTTTACATTTGTATGCAAATGACATTGTAGAATAACTCAAATTCCTCCTTCTGAAGACTTTAACAAGAATTCAATAGCCTATCTTTTGTTTGAAATAATAAAATTGCTGAAATCAGATTCATTTTTTGTATTTGAAAATGTTATGGAAATGTTTAATTTGGAATATTTAAATGACTAAGCCGCTTCCGACTTACTTCTTAATGGAACACTATATGCTTTAAAAATACCATTCCACATAGTCATCTGCTTAACGGGCTCAGCATGATATAAGTTGAAGCCTTTTCTCTAAGAAAAATTGTCCACTTTGAAATTGCTACATATATTGCTCCCTCTATGGCTAATCTATTTGATTTTCAAGAGATATCTTTCAGAGCATTTGAGTCATTATAATTACTGACTTCCAAGTGTATTCAAAATATACAAAATAAGGGATCATGTTTATTTTGTTTATGCATTTTTTCTTTTGAAACTATCTAACCCAATCACTTTATATTTCTCGGACGTTTGACAAAGTTGTCATCCTAAAATAAAATAATCAAATTGAAGATGGTTTCAATAAAAAATAACCTATTTTGACAAACTCAATAGGAAGACATGTTTAGTAATTTTTGACGAACTGGCTCCATGAATAATAACCTCCCATGATAGTTTTTTTTTTTTATTTTAGAATAAATGCATTAGACTTCAAAGAGTAAAAAATGGTTTCTTAAAACTAAAATTAGGCACGCCCTGGTGGCGCAGTGGGTTAAAGCACAGCACCAAGAAGCTAAAGCCACTTCAGCATGAGTTCCATTCCCGCCTGCCGCCTGCCCCGGAGGTGACCACATGGCGCAGCAGACCTCTCCTGACCCGCCCGCTGCTCCCCTCAGCAGTGTACTTTGTCGATCTGCCTTTTCTGCTCCGCACTCTGTCACTGGTGAATCCTCTCACCCTCCGCATCTCTGGCCTGTACCCCAGTTCTTTATGAATAAATAAATCTTTAAAAAAAAAAACTAAAATTATATTCTCAATAATGAAGTTCTAGGTTATGATATCCTAGCAGATAAAATCAAAGTGGTCATTTGTTAGAGTATTTCTTTACTAAGACTTTGTGGAAATTAATCTGTTGACTCTGTCTCCCCTCTTAAAAGGGAATCAGGACTACTGGGTGTCTTTAAGTTATTTATAGGGTATTTCAGTTCTCTCAATACTACTCCAAACTAAGTGTTCTTTAAAAGTAGTATTTAGAACAACAGCATAGAATATAATTCCATTAATTTAGTATTTAGATAAAATGAAAAGACAGAAATAAAGCTAATTGCCACCTCCTACTTCTCGCTGTTCCCTGTTCTTGTTAGTGACTTGTCCAAGAGTTGAAAAGACGTTCCCATATGAAAGGATGTAATTTACCACTGGTGTAATATTAGTTCCCTTTTGCGCCTGAATTAGGTTATTGGATTCCTGATATTTGCACCTCAGCGGGTATTGGGGAAACTTGGGGAAAGGAAGACAACAGGATTAGCTATTCTCTCTTTCCATATTTCTTCACTCATGCCCCTCTATGATTTTTTAATCTCTATGGGAAGAAAAGAGTATTTCAATCTCACAGGAGATTTCCTAGGGAATCTTCTCAAGGAATACTGCTTATATTTACCCTTCAATAGAATTTAAACTCCAAGCCTTTACCCAACAACTCTCCTAGTTTATATTTTCCATAGAAGAGTTGGTAAGTTACTCCTAACAACTGAAATGGGTGTTTTTTATTAGAAAAAAATCATTTTTTCTTTTTCTTTTTCTTTCTTTTAAAGGAACATTGGTTTAAAACACTGTATGGCACTGAGGTGTAGGAACACCCCCTCAGGTTTATATTACGGTACCACACACCTGCCACAAAGGTACCCCTAGTCCTCCACCATAGTTCATTGTGCCTCCTACAAACTTTGCTGCCTATATTTCCCTTTCTGTCTCTCTGGGTATCCTTATTCTCTAGAGATATCTAGGGTCCACTTAAATTTTATCTGATCACTTGTTATGTTTTATAAATATCTGGTATTGGTTTTTCTCCTTCTGATAATTGAAATGGGTGTTCCTATCAGAACAATTCCATCCAATTCCATCCATATCTAGATCAAAGGAAGTTTTTTTCATCAGTGGGAAACTGAAAATGTTAAAGTATTAAAATATCTAATGACATTTTCTAATTTTAAATATTTTAAATTCCATTTGTCATCCCACATTCCATTAGAGTGTGATCACTGAAACACCTTTCAAGTTGATTGAAGATTATTTTAGAAGAGCACAATGAAAACAGAAAATTATTTTCCAAATTATTTAAACTTGAAAATGCTTTTTAAATGAACACAACATTAGTAGCAAATGTTTCCATCAAGTATTCACATGGTGTTAAATTGAACTAATGCAGTAAATGCTATACTCCTTTAAGTTAAGGATAAAACTGACTGTTTATAAGCATAAATGCACACTTAACTTCTCAAGCCCACCTGCAAATTTAAAACATACAAAAATATACTTTATTGTACATATATGATCTAAAGATAGAGATATATGCAAAGGAATATACAGCTACATGTTACCTATACCATACATATATATTCACATAGTATTAATTAACCATATTGCATGTAAAATATGGTGATTTGCTGATAGTATAAGGCATTACATTTTCTATTTTGTTAGCAGATAACTTTTTTAATTGAGGTAATAATGGATTACATTATTGCTTTTGTTTACAAAATGTAGGGTCTCCCCCACAGTTTTTATCACTACTCAGTACCCACAACCAAAACACCCATCGTCCATGACCATAGTCCATTTTGCTCCCCAAACTTTGCCTTCCTTCTCCCCTTCACATGCTTCAGTTCTTTAGTCAGCTTGTAGGGCTAGTTCTTAGTTTGGCTCTATATGATCTTTTGTTTGGTTTCTGCAGATAACACCTTAGATTGTGTCTTTTAAATTAACAGAAGAGTTGATCTTTATAATAGAATCAGTGCCATATGTTAAATTTAAAAATATACAATTTTTTGACAATGCAAATGGAGTGAACTATTACTGTTAGGACTTTCTTTTTAGAAGTTATAGAAGTTATAAAAGTTATACATATTACATATACATTCTCTACTTTTTTTTTTAAGACTTATTTATTTGTGCATACAGAACTGGAGTGCAGGCCAGAGGCTCAGGGATGGCGAGAGGCTTCACCAGAGACAGAGTAGGGAGCAGAACAGGCAGATCCAGGAAGTAAACTGCTGAGGGGAGCAGCGGGTGGGTCAGGAGAGAT